CACACACACACACACACACACACACAAAAAGAAAAGAATTAACTCTCGAATTAACTCTTTCAGACTCCTGAACGTGTACATTAAGTTTGGTTTTCTTTCTATTGCTCTAAACACTTTCTTCCATTCCTCCCCCTCTCGCCCTCGTTGGAAATCTATTGTACATATCTGCGATTTATATACTCGGCTCCTTTCCCAGCTGTCTTATGAATATTTGAGATAACTCGGGTAACTTTTGTGTTTGGAAGTGACGCAGCCCACTTCGTCGGCGTGTTAAATTCCGAATGCGTGCACTAATTTTCTCAGTCTCTGTTATTCACTCGCCGTGTCGTTTGAAGTTCGCCACTCAGTTCAACGGGAATTATTCAATTATATCGATATCACAGAGAATACATGCCGATTAAGAGACGTCTTTCCCTTTGTTTCGAGATTCGTTCAGAAATAGTACGGGAATTGTATTGCGCGCGGTTTACAATGATGGGAAAAGAGGGACGGGCGCGGAGAGATCCGAAGGGATTACCGCGCGAGGGGGCAGCGGGCCCCGTTTCATGACGCTCGCATTCTCGGAAGTTGCATTTCGGAATTAACCGTGTCGGCGGCGCGGCGGCTGTGCGCGCCCGCTCGCGTGCGGGATGTGTTGCCGCGTTGCTTTACACCGGCAACGACAAGCCGGAAGCGAGCTGAACCTCGCCGAAGAAACTTCCGTACCTTCTCCCGCACGCCCGCGCGTTCAAATCCACCCGCTCCCTCTTCCTCTCCCCCTCTCCTCCCCCACGTTCGAAAGCCCCTTCTATAGCCCTCTTCGTGCCTCGCCCCCGCCCGCGCGCGCCGTAAGCTCGACGCCGCAAACTAGTAAACCTGTGCGCTGATCAAAGGGAAAATTAATTCGCTTGAAATATACCGGGTTCCACCGCGAACCGACCCGGTGGCGCGCAAGACACAGAAAATTAATTTAGCTTTGTTGCGGATATCGCTCTTCTCCGATTCCCTCCTCCGTCTCCTCTCCCTCGTACCGCTCGCTCCCTTTCTGCTCTCTTTCCTCGGGTTTTTTTTCTCCCTTTCTCGACGCGCGCGTGGCCCGTGCAGCACGAAACGACAGCTATACCAGAGCTCTATAGTCGAGTTCGCTTCACGCGAACGCGTAAAATAAATCTGTCCAAATTACATTATTACTCGAAGATCGAAATTCATCGCGAATACGTTTCGAAAGAAGAATATTAAGAATTTCAGAATCATCTCGAGTTTTAATTGGAAAAGTTTTTTTTTTTTTTTAATTGCGAGTCTTTATAGACAAAACATAACGGGAAAACATGTTGTTTCGAATTTGCCCCGGTAAATCGATTCGTCTCGTTTCTCTTCGATTATGCATTATCGGTGCTCTCTCGGCCGTGAATAGAACCGCCTGAGGAGCAGAGCGAGAAAGAGGGGAAGGGAGGGAGAGATCGACCGGCCGCTGCCGTGCGCGCACGCCGGAGGCTCGCGGCGCGGGCCGACCCCGCTAATTATGTACGAAATTCATTAGCCCGTGTAAATATAGAGCGGCCGGGTGTATACACACCCTGCGTGGATGCCCCGAGGGGGGTACGCGGGCGCGCATGGCCTCGTCGCGCACAATGCGCGCCGTGCGCGTTGCTCAAACAAGCGACCTGGGCCCCGGTCTGCGTCCGCACGAAGCGCACGAAACATTCGCGCATGACACAACCCCAATGCAACGTGCATTTCCATACGTTTCCTCAGGAGCACTTGGATTAATATTGCGGCGGATGTTGATTAGCGGTGGGCGGTGTGAGGGCGGGGGTGGAAGGGTCTCGGATTTAATCCAACGAGAAAATGGACTCGCAGCGACTCTCGTTGGATCTCGTCCGCGAGAATCTTGTGCGAGAATCGTAGCGTAGAATCGACTTTCTGGATTTCTTTAAATTGGTTCAGCGTTCACCGACCTACCCATGATCTCTCAACACTTCTTCGCTTTTAAATCTAACTTTTTCTCTCTTTGCCCTTGATTTGCTGCGATGTGTGCTTCACGAGATTTTTCTGATCTTTGAAACTAATTGAGCAATTTTGCTTCGATAATATCGCGCGATGGGACAGTCCTTTTCTTAAAAAAAGATTCAATATTTTTAAATCTTTTATGCAATTGGTATCGTATTATACTTTATAAAAGCAACATAACAGATAATTATAAATGCCTCGATTGAAATTTTAAATATATTAAATTTTTTTTTTTACGGAAAATTATTAATAAAGCTGACCGAATTTTTAAAAAGTACTGAAGAATTCGACACAAACAGAATCGTTTGAGTCGCTGTTATTATTGTATTTTACTAGCCACCGTGTGTTTTTAAGCTTAAACAACACCTATCTCTCATGTCACAAATCACGAAGAATTCCGCAATTTCTTGTGCAGTCGCTCGACGGACAGAACGTCTACAACTCCTGCTGCACGCTGCGCATCGACTACAGCAAGATGCAGAACCTGAACGTTAAGTACAATAATGACAAGTCCCGGGATTACACCAACCCGAATCTTCCGACCGGCGACGCCAGCCTGGATGCGGCGTCGCTCGCCCTCGGCGGGGAATTGCTGCTGATGGGCGCCGGTTCCCAACCGCGTGCCAGAATACCCGGTGAGTATCGATAAATACATTCCCGAATGGGTTTTCAAATTTCGCTCTTCAATTTCGAACGTTTCACCTGCCGAATGAATCGCTTTTTAATTATCGCTTTTACTTAAATTAACTTTTACTTAATTATTATGAACGCATACGGAATGTCTCGTAAAAATTATCGTAACACTTATGAGATTTTTGTGATTATTTAAAACGGAAGACCTAATGTCAAAATGTCGAGACTACAAGAGTTTCTGAAACAAATAATAATAATTACAGTTAAAGAACTGTCGACTTTTGATATGTTCTGTCTCGAATTGATCTCTCAAGAATCTGTTGTAAGCATTGTTATGGTCTTTATGGGTCACATTATATGTACACTGAGAAAAAAAACTGATTGTACGAACTAAATTTGTGTAGTTCTTTGATCCAATGGTTGATTTAACAATTCTTTAGTTGCTCAAAGAAGGGTATAGTTTATGTCAATCATCAAAATTTTTTAATCAAGAATTAACTAAACCAACTTAATTAAATTATTTTGTTCGAAATACTAGTGATATTTATTTGTGTTTGCATACTATTTAATTATCCAAGTAATATATTTGTTCAATTCCAAACTGATTAAACGATGTTGATGAGGATAATAAATAGTGTGTATTTTTAATCGAACGGTTGAGTTAAATACAATAAGTTTTTGTTGAAACAAAATATTAGTTTAGTTAAAAAATAGGATTTTGTTTATAATAGTGACAAATTATTTTGTGTCATCGTAGTAACGTTTAGTTGAACGTATCGGATTAAATATTTTGGTAAGACGAAACAAATTTTGTGTTTTTCAACAAATTTTTTTCTCAGTGTATATAATCATACATAATATATACTTGTAATATAAATGTGTATATATTATAATAGATTTATATAATATTATAATGTATGTCCATAAATATAATACGCACAATATGTATGCATACACGTGGAAGAGGCCATGTGCAACATGTGATCGATAAACGCGTTAATTTCGGCCGATTCTGTATAGTAATGCTCGATAATAATTGAATATAGTTGTGCACGGTTTGCGTGCAGGCGCTTTACAAAATTCATCGTCATTAAACGCTCGAGCTGAAGCGAGATTCGGCCGAAGCAACCCGGGATATTATTCCATGCACGAGACGTGCGTAACCGATGAATTGCGTTACTCTTACACGATTTCGTGCAATAATAACCCGATAATAGTTGAATGTGCATTCAGTAGCTTGTGACAGGTGGACTTTACGGGATTCACCGCCGTTAAATTCGTCGATCCCGAATGAATTCGAGACGTTTTTTAGCGTATTTTTTATTTCTTTTCTGTGCGAGCGCAAAAGCCCGCGGTGCTTTGTGAAAGGTACAATTGAAAGGTTGATCGGCCAATTAGCGGGCACGATCGCGCGACGTTACGTTTATCGGAATTAATTACATTAGTAGTGATACCGATTTTACGTCACTCGAACGTCGGGCTGAATTATTATTATTATCTCGCGATGGTTGAAGCAATTTGCTGGCGTTTCAAACTAACGTTCCCGTCCGCCGGCGTGCGCGCCGCCACCGCCGCCGCCCGGACGTTATTATTTCCTCGGGTAAATTAATTAATTAGCACAAAGTACCGGGGCGGGCGATCCGGCTCGCCGAATCGTCTGGATTTTTGCGTTTGCCACCGCGGCGACAACGGCTAGTTTAAATTACACGCTCGGCCCGGCGCTTGTTTGGGTTAAATTAATTTCACGGCGTTGTTGTTGGTGTTTAATCTGTAACGGTGTAATCCACTTTTGCGTCCTATCTCGTTGCGCAAACAGTCCGCTGATGGCCGAGGATTGAGGCGACCTCGCCGTACAGTCCGGTCGTCCCCCCCCCCCTTCTCTGAAAACCGCGGCGAGGAAGCACGATTAATTGCAACGTCGAGAAGATCGTTCAAGGATCGACGGAATTCGTTGAAACGCGACATCGTGTAATAATTATAGGAGCGCGAGATTTTACGCCCGGGACTTCAATTCCCCGGAAGTCCCCGACGGCAGACTCGCGCGCGGTCCTCCGATCTATATCTTCCGGTCGCGGCTTGTACCTTTTTTCTTTCAATATTTTTTTTTATAGCAATGCCGCCAATGATAATAATGTCGTCTGAACTTCCTGAAGTAGAGTCCATTGCAGGGGCACCGGGTGTGCTGCCCACGCCCTTTGCCATGCACGGCCTCGCTTCGCCCCTGGCCGGCCCCTACAACGGCGTGCCCCCGGCCGGCGGGCTCGCCGGCCTCGGCGGATTCCCCCTCGGCGCGGCTGGTCTAGGAGTCCGGGTGCAGGGAAGCGCGCAGGCATCCGCCGTGCTGCTCGTCAGCAATCTCAACGAGGAGGTAAGTACCTCGAGACTCCAAGCCCCAATTCCGACCCCCCCCCCCCGGTCCTCCTCGACGCGCTGGTTCCCCCTCTTCCCCCCTCGAAGGACGAGAGGCCGTACGAAGATCTGGCATGATGTACACGAAGAAAATCCGGGAAGTTTAAAAAAAAAACAAATTGGGAAATTTTTGCCTTTATTCTCGCAACCCCTTTTAAAATCTTCTAGCGAACTATCGTGACGCTAAACAAGCCATTTTCTACATCCGGAAATTTTCTTCGTGTACCACAACCTTTCCATCAACCGGAATCGCACTGAAGGTGGAGGAGACGGAAGATTCCGTTTCCACCGGGCGTCGCGCGTTCGTTTAATTTTTCGTCTCGATCCGCCTGCGGGGTGATTTTGTGCTAAAAATTTGCGTTTTTCATTCACGTGAAGTCTTGAAAATTACCGAGACCAACCGCGTCTCGGCTGGGATGGATTCTCTTCGAGAAAAGAATCAGTTTCGCGACTTATGAACGAGACGGTGAATACAGCGTAGATTTCTGGACACAACGGTATACGTGCGTTTAACCGAGACGAAGCGTTAAACGACGCACGCACACGATAACGGGGGTGTTGCATGCCGTTCGAGTAGATCTCGGAAGCAGCACTGAGAGAAATAGGCCGCCCACCACGTACGAATAAGTGTGTTGTATATGCGAGTGATGTATCTGTAGTGTGGCATCTGTCATCTCTATGCGATGCGCGCGCGCGCGCGTGCGTGTGTATGCTGTGTGTCTGATTCAAGCCCCTGGTCCGCCGTATCTCCATCTCGCGAGAACATTACCGTCTTGCCCGGCGCAACACACGCACGTCCGCCTCTTCTTCATCTTCTCTCTGTACCGTCTCACTTCTCCCTGTCTATTCTCTTCTCGTTCCCTCATCTCGGATGCTCTCGTATCCTCCCGTATCATCCCCCCCTCGCCTCCGCCCCACCAACCCTAAGAGACCGCACGTTATTTCTCTCAGTGTGCGACACGCGGGATCAAGCCAGCCAGACAACCCCCCTCATCCGGTATATACGCACATGCATAATTACACGGCCTAACGAGCGAGTTACAACGTAGTGCTAACGTAGGCGAACCCTCGCAATCTCTCGACTCTCCGGCTCGATCTTTCCACCGAGTCGAGCCTCGACTCGATCAACTGTGAATCCACCTAGACGGAGGATCGATTTGCAAACTCCGCGACGCGGCGGGATAATCTAATTCGTGTTTGCCTTTGTCACCGAGATGGAAAATTGCTGCTAAGAATTACCGAACTTACAAATACAATACACATATAATTTGAAACAAAAAGGTGAACAAAATGAGAGTATTAAAATCATTACGGTTCTCGAACGTTTTTTTTTTTAAATTGGGAGAAAAAGTAATTTGAAAAGTAATCGATTTTACTTATTTCTTTTATTTGGAACGATCAATATTCTTTCGAGATCCTCTTCATCGGTGGAGAAATCGAGCCGCGATATGCGTATGTGCCCTGTTTCGTCCCTTTGATTCTGTCCGTCGCCCCCCTTCCCCCTACTTGCCCCGCTCATTTTCGAAACACACATACAAATCACTCCAACGTGTCACCATCCCGCGCCCTAATTAATTCGTAGCGTCGTCGACTGAGCGACGTTACTTCATGCGAGGCGACATTCACATGCATTCGCGAGATTCACTCTTTCTCATTATATGTCGGCGGTTTACAGTATTCCGCCCGTGCGAATATCACGCGTCCTTAATATCTATTATCTGGTACGTTAAACAATTTCACGCGTCTTTGCCGAGGGCGTTTATACACGCCCTCCCACGCTATCAGCTCCTGCATACGAACTTGCAGGGGCCCCGTGGCGTTATTCGTTGACAAAAACTTACGCGGACATTATCGCGTAAGAAGCATCAGCGGGGATGATGAATGTCGCCTCGGCAAGAAACTGTGTGTCGACGTCACACTTCGCAGCTGCAACTTGTCACTACTGTACTATAACTGTGTGTACTACTATCGTTGTGTCGCGCACAAGCCTCGCAAGTCTGGACGATCACCCTCGATCGTCCTCCAATTTTTGGGCACAAAAAGAAGGAAGAAAAAAAACAAACAAGCGTTTCTTTCGTTGACCGGAACTCGTTGAAAAATCGATCATGTGGATGATTAAATCGCACTGTGTAAAAAAACGAGAAACCTTTTTTTTTCTCCTCGTTCCGTTCGATTTTGCACGAGGCATTTTTTTTTCTCGGGAACACGCGGAAGGCTTTTAACTTGAGAAACGCGAATCTTGTGCGCACACCAACACTATACATTTTGAATCCTATTATACTCGCTGACTACTGACTGGACTCTGTCTGTTCTCTGTGTAGATGGTCACGCCTGACGCTCTCTTTACCCTGTTTGGTACGTCTCCACATTTATATTATTAATTATATTACATTATTAATTATTATATTTACACCCCCGCGCTCTCACGCATACCGCAAACCACACCACACGAATCCGGGAAACACGCGGACGCCGCGCGGACACGCGACACGCACACGTCCCTCGGTGACACCTCGGCTGTGGATAGACGCGCGAGACTTGCTGTTTGGAACGAAAGGGGGAAAAAAATAAGAAAAAAAAAGATGGAAAATGGCAGGCGAAGACGTCCGTCCGGACCTTCTTTCTCGGTCACGTAGTCATATTTCCTCGCGATGGCGACGATAGCAAAGACAAACGTGGTACACGCATCAAAACGAACACTCCGACGTAGAATCTTTCCCATACGGATTGTCACGTACGAGGTTTACCGTTTCATACCGGGAAAAAAAAAGAAAGAAAAGAAAAGATCTCTTCTCCTCCTTTCTCGGTTTTGTTTTTCGTCTTATTTTATTTTTTTTATTTTTATTTTTTTATTTTTTTCATTTTTATTTGTATGGTTTTTTCTCTCTCTTTATTTCTTTTCGGCAACTCACAAAACTCGAGCATCGTCATTCTTTTTTCCCTCTCGTCATGTTTTTACTCTCGTGAGACATCCGCCATTCTCTGATTAACGTTTAATCCGTATCTCTTTCGATATTTTCGTGATTTCAACTTATTTTATTACTACAAGCTACTCCATTCGCCAAATTCATGATTCACCGTTCACACATACCGTCATTTTTCACCATTCGTGCCATGCCGTTTCCATATCGGCCACCACCGAACACACGTTCTCTCACAGAAATTCTCTATTTCCAAGCATCTCTTTATACAAATTATTTCATTAATATTTTATTAATATCAGTTCCACACAACCTTAATATTACGTAAGCTTTCGCTTATTTTACGTAATTCCATAGGAACTCACTATTAACGAGGCATGGCGACTCGGCGATGCGGTCGTGTTTTTTCTTTCCGCGCGAGCGATTGTTATGCAGATTTTCCCGGATAATTGCAGACGAATGTACAAAAGTCACGTACTGCGTTATGGAGCGCGTTTTAAAAAATTATTAAAAATTTTCCGTCCGTCTCGTAGACGTATCCATTTTTTGACTTTTTAGCCAGCGAAAATTTCATTCGCCTCGCTCCGTGGCTACGTAATATCGAAAAATATAGAATTTAAATTAATTAAATCTCGTGGAAACACAAGTAATAAATGGTGTTGTTGCTGTTTCATTAATTTTTATATGCGCTTTATTTTAATAAGAATTTACTTAATATTATGATGATGTTTATAATTGCAAATTTATTTACTAATAACTAAGCTGCTCTAGTTTTTTAACGAATTATTATTAAATTATTATTTATTAAAGTATAAATGAGTAAACGTGTATTTCGAAATATAAAAGATTACTAGATAGTATCAACGGATTATTTTGTTGACCGAAACTTTGTACTCTGAAAGTGAAGCTTCTAGCCGAATCGCTCGCCTCTTGCATGTCCCGATTCTTAGATCCGATCGTACCCCGATCTTGATCGACCGAAATATCGTCCCGTTCATCTTCGATAATCCTCAAAGCAGCCTCTCTAAAAAAAAAAAAAAGAACACGCGATTTTGTTCGCTACCGCCCGAGTTTACTAAAGAGAAATTTGCGTATTGTGCATGTAGGCGTTTACGGGGATGTACAGCGTGTGAAGATCCTCTACAACAAGAAAGACTCGGCACTAATACAGATGGCCGAACCTCATCAGGCGCTTTTAGGTGAGTGGATATGTATTTTTTTTTGTGTACAGCAATGACTCGAAGTCGCGTCTTGTCACGTATAATAATCCATTCATTTAAATGTATTTTGAAAAAAGAATTAATTTTCTATGTACTCGAAATTTTTCAATGTGGGAAATCAGAGGACGCACACGATTTCTTATTCCACAGCTATATGATATTACGCAATTACAGTTTACACCGTTAATCCGGGCAGGTGAACAACTAATTAAAATATTGTTTAATCTATACAACAGCGCTAACCCATATGGACAAGTTGAGAGTGTTTGGAAAGCAAATCAAAGTAATGCTCAGCAAACACCAAACGGTCCAATTGCCAAAGGAAGGTCAGCCAGACGCGGGCCTCACGAAAGATTACACCAACAGCACCCTTCACCGATTTAAGAAACCCGGCTCGAAGAATTATCAGAACATCTATCCGCCGAGCGCGACCCTGCATTTATCAAACATTCCGTAAGTAATCCGGCGACAATGCAACATTTCGCGCCGCGCGCACGGCGCTTTCCCCCTCCTCCCCCCCGGACAAGGCTTAGTGACATTTAATTTAATATGCTCCTTCAGGGCTACGGTAGCGGAGGAAGAAATCAAGGATGCTTTCACCAAGAACGGCTTCACCGTGAAAGCCTTCAAATTTTTCCCGAAGGACAGGAAGATGGCTCTCATACAAATGCCTAACATGGACGATGCCGTGGCTGCGCTGATCGTAAGTCATCATTGTTATCGTCAAACAGCCCAGGCCACCTGGCGAGAAGCTTATATATGTAGATCCTTGACTTCTTTCTTATTTTATTAAAGTTGCAATTTTTATGGGAAGGGACAGTAAGAGTCCCTTGCCCAACTTCCACTCTGGAGAAGCTTCGCTTTTAAAAATTTATTTTTATGATTTTTGTCCTTTTCTTCTTTAATGCAGTATCGTGATTTGTTTATCTCTTTGGGATTAAGCTCATGTCTCGGGTTTTTTGTTCCTATCACAGAGTGGAATATGTTCCTACTTCAAATTCCTCATCGCAGCGTCGAGTTTATGAAAAAAATACATATCGGTTCTCCTTACAGCGTGCCTGCGCATTGATCTATTGAAGTATTTGTAAAGGAAGTATTTTTAAAGGAAAGGGAAGTAGGAAGGAAGTCTTAGGAACTCTACTTGAAATCTAATTTGAAGTCAAATCTGACGACCATACCGTGAAATGTAAATTGCTCGACTATAAAGCCGATTCGTTCTTCTTTTCGCAGAAAATGCACAACTACCAGCTTAGCGAGTCCAACCACCTCAGAGTGTCGTTCTCCAAAAGCAACATCTAACAAGAATCGCCACCGCACGAGCAGCAGTGGTACCAGCCGTACGCCCTAGTTCCCCTTTGGTCACCCGCTTCGGTCTACGACTGATGGTCCCACAGTTGGATCCGCTCAGGTGCTCGTCCGTTCCTGCGGGAGTCGCTACGCTGTTGCCGGCCGGCTGCACTGCGCGCGTGACCCATGGTCCACGTTGCGCACTCGGACTTTGGAGCGGCACAAGCGGACAGGAGCTACCTCGTCCGAGCGAGCTTAGGATGCTTTCGAGGCCTTGCCCTTGTTGTCGGGACGTCTATACGGCACGCATCTATTTCCGCATCCGGTTGATTCTGACAATTTCCGAGGGTTGCTAGGGTGATTCGAGATGTACCAAGGCTGCAAGCGCTCAAGTTAGACGATGAAGAGGCAAATTTCGCGACGGCCTTCTCGAAGGTAGTTTCCGGTGCTGGCTTTCGAGCGTATTGACGCGACAGTTTCGTAACTTTAGAAATATGTGAGGAATTTAGAGAGACAGACGAGGCGAGAGAAGGGAGAGAGAGAGAGAGAGAGAGAAAGGAAGGATGAGAGAAAGTTAAATAACGCAACAAATCGATCATTCTTGTGAAAGCCAGGACCGTCGCGGGAAAAGAGAGAAATGAGAAAAATAGAGAGAGATGCAGATGAGAAAAGCCCAGCAGCCGGGCATACGTAGAGAAAGCACGCGTAAGAGAGGAAAGAGAGATTAGATTAAGATTAGACGGGAGCGAGGAGACAGCGCAGTGTGGCGAACAACTGTGTCCTCGACTCTTGTACAGAGTTAACGCTAGGAAAGATAAGATATATTATTATACATGTAAAATTTCAATGAATCGCGCGGCCCGAACCGCTACAGTGATTACGGTTAAGGATTTTTTCAAAGTTACGTGAACGTTAAAGGGCGACCATCTCGCGATAAGCGCGCGCGACGGCGTCGTCCGTATACAATATATATATAAATATCACAGTTTCGGAAGTGGGTCTCCGTCGTCGGCGTGCGTCGTTCGACGAACGGACCTCTCGGGGAGCAGAGCCAAGTGGGGGGAAACAAACAATGGACCGCGAGATGTTCTGATAATCCCGGACGATCGTCGTACGTTCACGCGCGACCCGGCGGCCGACTGCCGTGAACCAAGCAAGCGTTTCCCCCACGAGACAATCTTCATTCTTCTGACGACCAAAAAAAAAAAAAACACAACACGCGCGACCGAGCGTACTTCTTCGTGGCTTCCGTTCCGTTTCCGAGGGCGAGACAATATCGATCGACGAGAGGCCGCGACCGATCGAGTACGACGGGAACGGTGTTTTTAATCGACCGGGTATCTAAGTAAGAAAAACAAAAAAAAACGGCCAATGTCACGGGACCTTTTGCATGCTTTCACGAGGTACTACTACTACTACTATTTCGCCGACGAACCGATCGCCCTCGTTGATTTTAACGTCGCGGGATTTGGTTAGCGGCCGAGGGATCCGAGGAGAGAGGAGAGGAGTTTGGTAGCGGCGGCCCAGCGCCGTGTCGGCCTTCAAAATTCTTCCCGCATCCGCCGTTACTCATCGCGATTGGCTGATCCGTTCGTAAGGCGGAAGCGAAGCAATTATCAAAGTCGTTCGTTGCGTGCTGAGAGCTAATTCTAATTGGGGTAAACGCCACTCCGAACGTATCCGGCCCGCTCGACCTCTCTAACGTTTTATGCTTCTTCGCGGGGCGGGAGGGTCTCTCTCTCTCTCTCTCTCTCGCTCCCTCGAAGGTACCTGCAGTATTCTCGACTCGACTGTCCGGCGAGGTCGAACGCGCTTCTTAGGGGAGGGTCGAGCGGGGCGCCCGAGCGCTCGATGGCCGAGGCGAAGTTCTTCGCGCACCGCAGGCCACACGCGGCGCATATGCGCGCGTCATCCGTACACGGTCGTCGCAGATGGCATTTTTATAATTTGTACGTTTCAGTTTTTTGAAGAGATAAGTATTATAACGCACCCGCACACACGCGTATCCGCGTCTTTACGAGACCGTACAATTATGCAGTTATACAGAGGACATATACACGGACACACACACATACACACACACACATACAAACACACAAAATCATGCACGCGCCGCGCGCGACGATAAATGTTTCGACCGCCCTCTGATTTATATATACACATACACACGGTGACATATATATACACACACATAAATACACACAGACGCATAGATACAACTGAATGCGCGCAGATTTCTTAGTTAGAATAGATGCTTAGGCATGTGTTAGGATCTTAATCGTATAGTAAGCGACTAGATAAGTAATTGACTAGGAGAGGAAGGAGTGAACCGTTGAACATATCGCTAATTAAAAAGTTTTTGCAACGTGCGGGGCGCGCGCGGAAAGTCGTGGCGGATCGGCGGGTGGCACCTCTGGCGGTTTTCGCGTCGATGAACGGCATCCGTGTCAAGGAGGGGAGAGGTGTGTAAGCCTGTCTCTGTGCCAACGAATAAATCCGTCGCTTGACGAGCCACGATCCATCCCCCCATCGAGAGTTCCTGATATCAAAGCATTCCTTCAGTAGTTCGACAATTGTGAAGTTGCCCCGTAAATACAAGCGAATATCTCGAGAATAAGTATATCGTTTGCCTAAAACGAATCAATTTGCGACGTTGAATTCTTGTCGGAGAGAAGAGCGCTAAGTGACAAGTTGAAATACGTATTTACGGGGGATTTAGTAGAAGCGTGCGAGATGTAGAGATCGATCGGGGTGGTTTTCCGAGGTGTCCGGGGTGTCCTCGCCGAGAAGCGCGAGGCTGAGTTAAAAGTGGGGGGGGGGGAAGGAGGGAGGGAGGGGGGGGAGGAAATTCGCGACGTCGAGGACAATCGATCGCGTTTCTCGTCAAGAACGAGAATCCCGAAGTCCTCGAGCGAGAACGTGCCGCGCGCGCGCCGGCGAAGTCCACGGGTTTTCTGTCTAATCGACGTTCTGTTGGAGTCAATTAAATTTTACTGATATAACATAACTGATCGTAGAGAGAAGTAGGAAGAGGAGAGTTTAGAAGCGCTTTGGAAGATGACTGTTATGCGTTAAGGCGTAACTGAGCGAGCGAGAGGGAGGGAGAGAAAGGGAGAGAGTATTTGCGCGAGTGCGAGAGAGAGAGAGACGGAGCGAAAGAGTTGTATTCACCGCCGAGTGTAGTGTCGCGCGACTTTGACGGATATTGAAACTATGTAGAGGGATAGGAAAGGGAGTTTCTTCAAGCCGAGGACCCCGCAGCAACCGTACGAGGCAGGGGAAATGTGACGAAACTGTGAAGTAAAAAAAAAAAAAAACAAAGCGAATGCCGGCTCGGGCATGGTGTGCTGTTTGTGCCAAAGTAGGCTAGCCGTTAAAACTCTAGAACGGGATCTCTCTTGGTGAGCAGCGCGAATGGGATATCCCTGTTCGATCGCGCGGGCGCCGCCGATCCCCGGGGGTTCCCCCGCGCCCGTCGCGCCGCACGGCGCGTAAAAACGCGTTTTTCGCGCGGGACCACCCTCCCCCCTCCCCCCCTCGATCGGCGGCCTCGCCCTTCGATCGAGTACCGACCAATCAGCTAGTTGTTTAGAGACGTAGCGAGTAGCCGGCATGAGCGAAGGGGCCAGTCTTTGCATCTATGATCTGTGTCTTTCGGACCTCTGATACTACGTTATTTAACTTCGACTGCATTTATACATTCTTAAACCGGACACACGTTCCGAGCACCCGGACTGCAACGTCTGTCACAAACGAGAGTCACACATTCACGATATACACATATACATACTTCCGCATACAGACATACACAAACACACACGCGCGCGCACACATACTCCTTAAGTAATGTAACACACATGAAGATAGACTTCCGCAATCGCCCACGGATGTGTATGTACATACAGATTCCAGCCGCTTTTATTTGGCTCGCTTAGTTTCGCTGTTTATCGATTTAGGAATTCGAGAAGCGCTTCTCTTATTCTACCTAATTTTGTCCTGTCACATTCGGATCGGTTTTTCGTGCGGTACCTTTAAAAGCCTGTCTTGCACACAGCCCGCGCTGACGTTTACACGTTCGTATCTCCCCGATTCTTATCGCATATCGCGGAACTGTAGCGTGAGAGTGCCACAAGGAGGAGAGGAAGGGGGGAAAAAAGGAAAGAGGGGGAGAGACTGTGCGGGAGTTTCCGTACAATTCTTACTTCCGGCACGAATATCGTCTAAGCGTACCTGAACAGCTCGCACAGAGAGTGTTACTCGATTTCCCGAGCTATATATACATATATATATATATATTTCGATTTATACACATACATACATACACATATATATTTACACACAACATACAAACACGTACACACGCGTGTATCCTTTTCGCGAATCGCAACGTCGAGCAACCCACCCAGGTTCACGCCAAGTCGCTAATCACATTTTTTGTCGCTTGCCGGCCGTTTATCTTAGCACATTCCTATCGACGCGTACGGCACGCGTCCGCACAACACCAATCTACACGGAACACAGAACACACGTTGACGATCCACGTAAACGCACGCACCCGGTGTTTCGTCCCTTTCTTCATATTTTTTCTCTCCTCGTCGTTTTCGGAATCTCTTTATCGCGGAGTGACGTAAACTACCTACCTGTTTTTCTTTCCCTTTTTTCTTTTCTTTCGTCGTTCACACCACGCTAATGGTGACAATCAGCTCTTCTGCTCGCAGGAGGAGGAACTCGGCGCGTGGTTCCTCCGAAACGTTATCGCCAAAAGTAAAACTCGCTTCGGCGAAGCGGCGCGAGCCGTTCTTTCCGCGATGGACTTATTATTAGTAGGAAAAAAAAACGTACCACGGAAAACGGGGCAGTTATATAACGGGGAGCTATAGGTATCTACAGGGTGCCCGACGTTATAAAATCGCACATCTCATTCGGTTTATTCTCTCGCCGTGTTACGACACGCACCGTTAGATCGGCCTTCCTCCTTTCCGCTCGCGGACGGTCCTCGCGTGGTAGGCAAAAAAAAAAAAGAAGAGGGGAGGGGAGGGAAAAGGAAGTCACGAGGGAGAACAGTGGAGGCACCCTGTAGACGGATAGATCGACTATATCACTAGCTGGGTTGAGGGGGGCCGAGGTGAGGGTTGGAGTAGCCAGCACTCGCTACATGGTGTCGTAGATTATTCAGACTCCGAAATTCCCCCAGACTCGTCGCGCGAGGAATCGGCCGGTGGTGATGGGTGGTGGTTCAGCGGGGGTTCGCTTTCATTTCCCCCCTCCCCCCTCGCGACATAGACGCTATTCACTTTTCGCGTTATTCAGGAAGGTTTCCGGTGGAGAAAAAACCGGGGGTGAACGATATCGCGCGAATCGGCGGAGGAGGCAAACCCTTCGCGCGGAAGGTGGACACGAGTGCAGACAATCAAAGAAGAAGGTATTTCCATCGGGCGTGGATATTCGGGATAAAGCGAGTTTACGCTCTCATTACTCCCGCCGCGAGTGTCTGTCTTGGGTAAAATCCCGCGTACCGACGATCGCTCGATTCGTTGACCCCCCCCCCCGCCCCTGGAAAGAGGGGAGAGTCGCGGGGCGCATGGTGGAAATCGGCGGCGCGGCGACGTCGGTGAGACGTCGCACTCGGACCAAGGGAATTCGGGGTCTGGTAGAGAGCCACGTTAGTAGACGAAGCTTAGCCTACACACACAGAGGGTATACATTGAACTATTATATATGTACGCGAGCATACAAGCAGACATACACACGCTCCAGACAAAGTATACGTGCACACAGGCCCAAATACAAACACACACACACACACACATACACGTATATATACATGTATACATACACGGTACATTCACACGGACTTATATCTATTATATATTTGATATATCGCATTGTAACAGGTGTGTCCAAAATGCGCAGCGGCTGCATCCCGATAATCTATATTTTATTAATAAGGGATAAGTCTATATATAGGGTTACTAACGTGTTACGGATTATCACATAAATTAGAGAGAAGATTAATCTATATAAATATATATTATATAATACGCGGCGGAACTCAAGTACATGGAAAACGGCAAGGACCGGAGGAGGAACACGCACGCGACCACGCACATACATTATACACAATACGATACATAATACGATACGCAACGTTAACGTGATCGGATAGAGGCGTGAGGTATAAGAAAAAATATATATGTATATTGATGAGTTT